TCAGTAACAGAGGACAAAGCAAGACCTCATTTCTGCTAACCAAGGTATCCATTTAACGAAGACACAAGTGCAGCTGACTATATAGTGTTATCAAACACCTATTAGGCACGAAAATAAATTAGTTCAGTTTGTGGCAGACAGGATTTTTATCTCATAAACTAGGATATCAGTCCAAGTATGTCTTTAATTAGGACCATACAAGCCAGAACTAGCCACATTGCCTATTTCTGTGTTCTGCTGTGGCAGAACCTTAGAGCCCTACCAAACCCTAAAAATACAATAACTAGGAACTCCTAAAACACAGAACATCACAACTACTACAAGAATTCAAACTCCAAAGGAAGTTACAGTAGAAGTTTATTGACCCTTCTGGTAAATTAAATCAAAATGTAGGCCAGTTAACACTACTTGTACACAAAATCACGTGAAATATCGTGACTGTATTTTCTATGAAAACGTGACAAAACAAGCTGTCTGGAACCAGCAAGAATGCAGAGATATCGGGAAGAATCAGGTTAGAACTAGAGTTTAAATTCTGTAAAATCACTCAAGAATGAAATTGGTTGCAGCATCAATAGCCACATGTAGAAATTGCCTGACACATCTTTCAAACTTCCATGACTGAAATTGTACACGTATCATTGACTTTAAAATTTTCATACAATGATTTCCTCATCAAAGCTAGCGTTTTCTGTTGTTGTGAGTGGTAATGGTGGCATGACCTTGGGCTGCCACAGCTAAGTGCCTTGCATGCTATGCCAGCATAGTACTACAGCCAGAACACTGTTCTGACACGTTAAGTCATCTGCCTCATCTGGCAGCTATATAATGCTATACTCGAGCCAGCTATTACAACCAAATATCAGGGTGGATCAGTAATTGTCAGAGAAACCTTGGAAGTGTTGCAAGAAATAGTGTTAAGTATTCCTGCTAGTCATTTTTCTAGAGTTATTACTGCTCATTTGGGATGTAAAATAAGCTCCCGTCACTCACAGACACTGAAAAGTGCATGGGTGTCTGGAGGATGGGAGACACGGACACTAGATTTGTAACCACATCCCGAGCAGAGTTCTCTTCTAGCTGCTTTGAAGCTTTGCTGCTCTCACTTCTCACCCTAAGCCTTTTTCCCTTCAGGTAGTCTAGCCCCTCCTTCCATGTGTGGTTCAAGGCAAGGCTGTCAATCTGGAACAGACGTCCTTACTCTACAAGTGTTTCTTGTAATAAATCAAAGAACAAAGACTTGTCCTACCAGATATGTACAAATCAGAAGTTTAACCCTGCTCTCCTGTAGCTTGGCCAACAACCCTCAACCACAAGAAAGCTTACACTTTAATCTCAGTTCAATCAGTGGGTTTTTGAAGATGAAGGAAAGTGTTACTTGGATTTAGAAAAAAAGTTTATTTTGTGCCAAGCATGCAGTGAGTAGAAATGGACAAGTTTAAGCTAGCTAGTGAAAAATTAAAACAAAGCCAAAATCTCTCCCCACCGTCACCACCTCGCCCTGATCTTTTTAAAGTTGCTGTCTGTATTTTTTTTTTGTTGGCTGATCAGAGCAAAGGTATAATTAGAGCTATAACAAGCCAATAATTTCTAAATGCTCAAAGATTGGTTAAAATAAAGTGATGTTACTCACTGACAAATTAATCCCCCTATATTGAAATCTGCACAAATATTGTTTTAAAACAAAACATTTACTTTGCCAACTTCTGATTCAAAGAGCTAGAGGATACAACTTCTCAGCATTTGTAATGTGCTCAACTGTTCTGTATAATGGAAAGAAAACACGACCTAATGGCTGACTGGTAGGACTGCGGTGAGGAGACGATTCTCACATTATTGCTGGCATTGCCACTGACTGATCAGTCAGTCTTTGGGCCTTTGCCCCAGTTTTTCCAGCTTCAATAAGAAAGGTGTGCTTTACCTACCACCTCTCTTAGCAGCACATCGCTCCACAAACACCAGTGGGATATTTTGATCTTGCTTATAGGCCAAATTTATCCCTTCTAGTCTTAAATCACAGGCAAAATTTCATAAACGACTTGGAGCAAAGGTAAGTCTCTTGTAAAATCTGCCCTCAAAAATCTAAGCACTCTACCTATACACTACAGACACAAGTATATTTCCTTGATAGTATTTTTCTTTATCATCCTTCCTACCTGCTGCAGCTTTTTGCATTTCATTTCATAGTAGATTTAGGCAGGAGTTACATATGTTTCCCAATCAGTCTCTGATGTCCAATTGTTATTCGATTCACCTATAGATGGGGTTCTTCTCTATCAAAAAGACAACCGACACTGAGGTCTCACCCATATGAAATCATCCCTGCACTTCTCTAGCTCCCCCAAAACCTCAATCATATTAGCGTTTTAAGCGGGGCAACTTGACTAAACTGTTTTCCAAACTTCAGGCCAACAGAGCTGCTGAAGTACAGCTGCACAGCATCTTCCCGTATTGCAGACAACGCCTGAGGCCAGCCGGACAGATTTAGAGCAGGGCTACAGAGCTTCAAAGGGAAGCCTGCCAGGCAGAGAGAAGACAGGACTAGTCCATTTGACAACTGAACTGAAACAGCAGGGCAGCAGCCGTAAGAGGGACAGAGGAGGAGGAAGGGGTACACAAAGAACAGGAGAATCAGAAGGGGAGGACAGGAGGGCCAAAGGTAATGTATATATGAAAAGGAATATATATTTCACAAAAGAGACTCAGGGCAGAAAATGAATGAATAAAATACAAACCCAAAACAAATCTCAGAGCAACTAGAGGGAAAAAAACCCTAGAAACAGCATCACTTAACAGGCAGAGGAACTAGTGCCTGTGAATCTTATTCAAAGCCTGGGAAGAACATAGCTAACAAGAACTGTATCAATAAAGGAAAGTATACAAATAAAGGCAGTGAAAGCAAGTTCAGAAAAGGCTTTGAAAACATGCTCAATTTGTAAAAGTTTTCTCAAGGCAAAAGAAACAGAGTTTTTTCTTCTGCTCCAGACAGCTCTGCTTCTTCATCTCAGCTGCTTTTCTATCCCTGTTTCTGTCATCTTCTCCTCCTCTCCTAAAAATTCAGTAGGGTTAAGCATCAGACAAAAACTATAGCCCTGGTTTCTCCTCATGGCAGATGATACAGTGGCAGCTTCACAAGGCTTGCTTTCTTCCAAGAATGTGTAGCTTGGAAGCCCCGTCCTGCTGGGGCAAAAAGCAAACCCCTTCTTCCCTTCTGGAGGGCTCACAGTGACAGCTAGAGTTATTCAGCATCCTACCCAGCCTCACTTATGAGGAGCGGGACAAGCCCAGAGGCTCTTTTCTTTCCTAATTTGGATTCCCAACCTTCCTAGGAGGTGTTATACCTTCAGAGAGGAGTTTAGTGTTTCAGGCTCTGCAGATGCAGGCTGACATCGCTGTGTTAGTTGTCCAGAAACTGAAGTAAAATAGGTACAGGGAGAAGGCTGACTGAAGTGAGTCTAGCGTAGCTGCCTAATTCTCAGAGATAAGACCCCAGACTGATCACATCCATATCAGGCTGCCCATAGCAGTGCTGGTCTGTGCCCCAACACACACAGTGAAGAAGCGAAGCGTCAATGTCATGCCCCATCTCTGTAATGTGGCATCTAAGCCCTTCCCATCCATGAACCAGGGCCCTCCTGTATGCTCAATAGAGTCACAGAATCATAGAATTGTTTAGGTTGGAAAAGACCTTTAAGATCATCCAGTCCAACTATTAACCTAACATTACCAAGTCCACCACTAAACCAGTTAAGGGTAGAGTAGCAACCCCACCCCTCGCTTGGTGGCTGGATCATTTATAATGAAAGCAAAAACTAGGAATCATTAAGATTGGAAAGGATCTCTAAGATCATCAGTCCAACCATCAACCCAACACCACCATGTCCACTAAACTGCGTCCCAAAGTGTCACGTCTACCCGTTTTTTTAACTCTTCCAGGGATGGTGACTCCACCACCTCTCTGGGCAGCCTGTTCCAATGCTTGACTACCCTTTCTGTAAAGAAATTTTTCCTAATATCCAACCTAAACCTCCCCTGGCACAACTTGAGCCCATTTCCTCTTGTCCTATTGTTATCTACTTGGGAGAAGAGACCAACACCCACCTCACTACAACCTCCTTTCAGGTAGTTGTAGAGAGCAATAAGGTCTCCCCTCAGCCTCCTCTTCTCCAGGCTAAACAACCCCAGTTCCCTCAGCCGCTCCTCATAAGGCCTGTGCTCCAGACCCTTCACCAGCTTCGTTGCCCTTCTCTGGACACGCTCCAGCACCTCAATGTCTTTCTTGTACTGAGGGGCCCAAAACTGGACACAGTATTCAAGGTGCAGCCTCACCAGTGCCGAGTACAGGGGCACAATCACCTCCCTGCTCCTGCTGGCCACACTATTCCTGATACAAGCCAGAATGCTGTTGGCTGCCTTGGCCACCTGGGCACACTGCTGGCTCATGTTCAGCCGGCTGTCAACCAGCACCCCCAGGTCCTTTTTGGCCAGGCAGCTTTCCAGCCACTCTTCCCCAAGCCTATAGCTAAATTACTGCCCATGTCTTAGTCTAAGGCATGGAGACCTGGAAAATTAAAAGACAGCACTTGGGTAAAGAGAAGCAAACATCTAGAAGGAACAGAACCTGTAATCTTATCTTAGTCTGGCAAACTCCCTTCCAGCCACAGGCAGGTCTCCCTCTCTTTCCCCCATCACCCTCAGTGCATTCCACTTGTTTCCCCATGTAAGATCCCTCTCAAAGCAGTCTTCTCTCCTTGCTCTGCCCTTGACATGCTTGACACACATGCCTTTGCTTGAAGCTGAAGCGCCAGGAGTAATTACAATGATTTGCACTACCCAGTCACATTACTGATGAAACTGTGAAGCTAGCGATATAAAATCCTTGGTTAGAGCAGAGAAACTCTGTCAATAGCACCATTTGGGTGCACACTCGTTCTCTCTAGAAGGCTTCATCATTAAGTGCACTGAAGCCTACAAACCGGGAGGTATTCTGCAAATGTCAGTCACAAGGAATCTGAGAATTCAGATGCAGCTGCCTCCTTTGCCAATATCACCACGAGGGCTAAGACACTGGAAGCAGAAACCAGACACAGAAAAATCTGCGTTCAGCTGGTCACATCATCCTCAAAGCTGCAGAAAGGGAAGGATGAGAGGGCATCAAACAGGTACAAACACCCCCAAGCTCTAACAGTGGTTTCTGTTGCTGAATTTCTTCTCAACTCTTCCACAGCTATACTGGTCTGGAAATCCTAAAAAAGGAGACAGTAACACTTTCATTTGGCTACTTTTCTGATTGCCATTGTGCTTCTAACCTGCAGCAAGCTGAGGCTCTTCTCTGTCCTCCAAATATTCCCATTACCAGCTCTCCTGTATCAGACACAATGCTTACGTGGCTTTTCCCTTACAGCCAATTCATTCTGACAGGAGCAGCCTCTGCTCTGCCATCCCTGCCTGCTTTCCTGCAAATCATTCACTTTTAACTCGGTACCAGTTCCCTCTGACAGGATCAAGTCTGTGCTCACAGCCCATCCCAGCTCCCATGCTTGCTGCAGGCTCTATGGCCTGGTTGTCCATGGCCAGAGACTGGCATGAAGCAGGGGAGTAAGATAAGACACAAGCCCTTTGGCATGAATGAACCATTACTCCCTGGGACACATCCCTGCCCGGTCCCTGTTATCCATCTGGCCAATGTTTGGATGAAATCTGAGATGAAAGCAAAAAATTACCATACTCCAACTCTCACCACATCTCTGATTCTCTTTGTTGTTACACAGAAAAGAACGGTGAGAATTCTCTCTCCTGCCACTTGTTTGCAACCTTTTTACATGCTTTATTTGCAGTCCGGTCCTTATTTCTTGTTTTGTTTTTACTATCTACTTTTATTACAGTTTCGTAGCATCTAGCTTCCTGCTGTGATATGCTCTAGTTTTATTCCTGCCTTTTTCTCTGGGGAAGAGGGGGAGAGAAAGATGAAAAGGTAAAATTAATTTGTTTCTTTGATAAGGCAGTTAAGAAGCATGTTGGCCCCTCTGAGCATTTCAATAGCTTATTCCCTTTTCTAATATTTCTGAGGGGAATGAAAGCTGAATGCTCAAAACTGCCAGCACAGCCACATCCTCCTCTTTGAAAATTGAAAACTGAGACTAATTACGATGGCTCGCACAGTCCAATTATGTTGCTGATCTAATCAGCTAACATCAGGAGAAGCGCTGAATAAATCTGCACAATAGCTGGGAGACAGAGTCGATTTCTCCCTGGCCCAGCACATTTAAAGCATGCTTATCGGCTGCATGACATCCAAAAAAAAAGAGAGGCTGGCTGCAAAAAGTTTTTTGAATCTTCCCTTCCTATTTCTCTACCCACGTCCCAAAGAAAGAAGCCTTTAATTTACAAAAGGATTTGAGCTTTCTTTTAACTGGTCCAGGCACACCCTCTTGAAATAAAGCAAACATAAGCACTCGGGTTTCATTAGTTAGTGATTAAATACATTATGAGGCAGAAAATTGGCAGAGAAAGCAAGGCTGGTTTGTTCATGTTGGTCTTACTGTTGGCTCTTTGTGCACACTCTGAGTGGCAGGCCTCTGTAAACTGAGCTCAACACTTGTGGGGTCCTTCTTCAACTCTACTGAGGGCCTGTTCCCTCTGGCTACTCCGTCAGATGTCAGAGATCTGCTTGGCGAAGGAGTAAATATTACTGTTGTACACTCTTTATCCTTCTCTTCCATGCCGTTGAAATTTTCTCCATTCATGCTGACTTTTCCATCTACCTGTAGAATACAGATAAATAAATATGCTGAGGCAATTAGTGTTCAAAGGAATTTAGGAAATCAGGACTTCAACATGATATTACAATTGTTAACACAGTCTGTGCCATCACTGAAGGACAGAGCCAAGCACGCATTTCATTCAACAGGCCAAGATAGAAGAAAACCCTATTCCAGGGGGAGTCATAAACAAAATACAGACAGAAGGTAATAATTTTTCTGGATTCCCTGGTTTCCCACATTTTTTTCTCTCAGTAACATACAGATACCCTTTGTGTGCATCACAGATCAATGGATTTTAAAAGAACAACGAAGATTTATGTTAAATTTAGACCAAAACTGCTGGGTTTTGTATTGCCTCATGCAAGACACAAGCAGGTTCTCCAGGACTAATTATACTGATGAACTGCTATGTACCCTGACAACCTCACCACAGTATTAGTATTCTGCGCTTCGTGAAGCACTGCCATGTGAACTTTGAAGGGTCAGGAGCAGCAGAGTTCATCCACTTGTTTTACTCTTCGTAACAGGGAACCAAGGAACCAACAAATAAACCTGGGCATTCCACCTTCTCCATGAGGCGATAAAATAAACAGCTGCTTTCCCAGAAAATGATTTTATGAAGTCTCCATGAAAAGGAGAGCACAGAAACAGTTTAACTACTTTGTTCTCAGGGTCAAGCTAGCTCCTTGGTGGGCACATATTCCCACTAAGGAACCCTTAAAAAAGGAAGAAAACACAAAATAATCTCTAGCTTCTTCCTTTGCACTGATACAGCTTCCTCTCGGGACTTTAATACTTCGTAATTATGTTCTGAATGGAGGTGGCATGTAAAGACTTCTTCCTTTAATTTGGAGAGCTGTTTGTAGAAGCCGTGGTATACCTGAAAAAAGTCTTACTACAAAGAACTCACAAGCTATTCACCATAAGAGGGCCCAGCTGGAGAGAGACCAGGAGAGGACCAGGTATCAGTAACACAATATTGTTCCTGCCTAGCTACAGCACAGATGTTTATAGGCTTGTCAGCAGGGGTGAGTTTTAAATAGATTTGAAGCAGGGCTTTACTACTCTGCGCACAGAGATCCTTCCTTGCAAAACAGTCATCACGGGAGACAACGCAAAGGTGAGGGAGTAAATACAGACAGGCTCTTCTCTGCTAGTCATTGGACTTTGGGGAAATAATAGCATAGATCAGTGATTTCTTAGAGAAACTATCTGGGATATATATGGTGATTAGTCATTTCAGGTTTCTCCACGGGTACTGCATAAACAAAAAACACATGTAAAAACAAGCTCAGAGGTAAGCCATTCCATGGGAACTTTTCACTTATTTCACTGTTACTGAAAACTGATGCAACAAGTGTCAAAACTGCTTTATCAAACTGAAATACAGTTTAAGAAAACAAAGTTCTTCCCATCTCATGCTCCCTGGCCCACTCCTTATTTCACCATTTATGTATCTTCAGTACTTTACTTCTTGAGTAAACAGCTTGGATACCTCAAGAGCGGCACTCCAACTTAGTATATGTCATCAGTGCTAAGTTGAGGGCAAACTCCTCCCATTGACTTCTTGTGTACACGCATCCAGAGATCTGTTCTCTGTCTGAGGGTGATTAACTAAGGGACCATCTCCGAGGTGCTGGGCATCTTCAGCTCTTACGGACGTGCAGGGAGGTGAAGGCAGTTAGCACCTCACACAATCAGCTCCCAGGCAGAGGAGAAACAGCCTGGCTCCGCAAGTGGCTGCACCCCTTCTGACTGCTTTTCAGATGAAAAGGTTCCCTCCCTTTCCTCACTGCTATTATCCACTCAACACAGTACCACTCTTAGGGTTTATTTCCAAATGCAAGTGTGAGCAGATGCTGAGCCCCAGGTCTTCCAGGACTGTGTGCTGGATTATCTACTAGAGAGGCAGGTCATGAAAGATCTCAGAAATAAAAAAGCCAGGAAAACACTGGCAGGCCGCACCATACATTTTAGTGTCTCTGTTTAGACTAAGACGTTTCTCTATTTATATTAGGGAGGAAAACCAAATGTTTGAATGATCAGGACAGATGCCCTGGCTGCAGAGTTAAACAAACATACTCCTTTCCTCCTGATCTGGAGCAAGTCAACACATTGTCACCAGAGACAAGAATCATCGACAGACTAGTGTTTCAAGGGAAAATAATGCTACAGCTACATGTGCTAGGGAATGATTCCTACTGAGACAAATCACATTCTTCCACATCAAGCAAACAAGATCTAGACAGACTTTCAGTGGTGGTTGGTGGGGGGTAGAAGCATCTATGGGTTAGTTTCACCCCACGTGAACTATATATGCATTAACATGAAGGTGATACACACATATATCTTGGTCCTCTGAGGAAAAAAGTGGCATGGATCAGAAAAAACCCAAAGACACATGATTCACTGATGACTAAAAGGTAAACTCTAGGGGAATACCAACTGAGGTATAGGAGAAATAGGAACCAACAGTTTCACATTTCAACTAGGAAATGTGGTGGGGGGGTTTCCACAAGAGCTGGGACAGACTTCAAGAAATTACAGACATCACAACATGCTTTTTCACTATCTGTACCATAGAATCATAGCATCATAGAATCACAGAATCCTAGAATGCTTTGGGTTGGAAGGGACCTTTAGAGGTCATCTAGCCCAACCCCCCTGCAGTGAGCAGGGACAGCTTTAACCAGATCAGGTTGCTCACAGCCCCACCCAACCTGACCTGGAATGTTGCCAGGGATGGGGCCTCTACCACCTCTCTGGGCAACCTGTTCCAGTGCTTCACCACCCTCATTGTAAAAAATTTCTTTCTTATGTCTAGTCTAAATCTATTCTTCTTTAGTTTAAATCCATTATTCCTTGTCCTGTCACAACAGGCCTTGCTAAAAAGATTGTCCCCATCCTTCCTGTAGGCCCCCTTTAAGTACTGAAAGGTCGCAATAAGGTCTCCCCGCAGCCTTCTCTTCTCCAGGCTGAACAACCCCAACTCTCTCAGCCTGGCCTCATAGGAGAGGTGCTCCAGCCCTCGGATCATTTTGGTGGCCCTCTTCTGGACCCGCTCCAACAGGTCCATGTCCTTCTTGTGCTGAGGGCCCCAGAGCTGGACGCAGTGCTCCAGGTGAGGTCTCACCAGAGCAGAGCAGAGGGGCAGAATCACCTCCCTCGACCTGCTGGCCACGCTTCTTTTGATGTGCTGGCTATGCTTCTTTTGATGCTTTATACCAGCTTTATACCAAGCGGACTTATTTTTTAAAAGTAAACCACCTGAATACACATGGTAACAATGGTACTGGGACATCATCAGGGCTGCAGGGACCCCTGCATGCCACTAGCGAAGTATCAGATAGCAACGGCAGACACAAGGGGACACGAACTCTACAGGCTGGGGACACCCATGCCAGTAGGCTTCACACTGCTTACAACAAGTCTACAATGAGACTTGGGGCAACTCCAGTTTTGGTATAGGCACTGTGAGAAGAAGATTTCTTCAAACTTGACTTATTCTGGCCTGTTCTCTCTAACACGCCGCAGTTCTTTCCTTTTTACATCGTTGGTTCAGTATCTTACTCCCATTCTCCACACCCACCCAATCCAAAGATATACTCCTCAGGTTTTCTATCCCAGTTTTCAGTCTCTTCTCCTGTCCCCTCACCCCACAAATCTCATAGCTGGCTCCTTATTCCAGACAGCCCTGCTTTTATCTAAGCTCTTTTACTTCTTTTATTCCCATAATCTTTGCATAGTTCTTGCAACCCAATGCAGTCACTCCCCCTCTCTCACCAGCAATCCCCAGTTACACTGCTGCCCTCTTTCCCTAAACCTGCATGGACAGCCTATATCTCCTCTTTATGCCAGTGAAGCAGCTTTCATCCCTGGTGAGAAGCATGTTTAGGACAGAGAGTATCTTTGGGCAAGCTGGCTCTTGACTCTGAAGGAGTAGGGACCCTCCACACTGAATACATGAATGCTACAGTGTTTCAAAGGCTTATGACTTGGCTGAATGGGACAGACTTGTTTGGGTATGGCAAAAATCAGACCCCTGACACAAAAGCCAGTTCAGGTCTTGCTCCAAAAGTCAGGGCCTCCATGCTCCCTGCCCCTTCCCTTTTGTTTAAAAACAAAAAAACATGACAACATACTCTTTCTTAACCTCTTTCTCAGAAAATGTCTTGCTTTTTTCTTAGAGGCCCCCCTTTCCCTGTCTTTCCCCAAATTTAGCCTGAGGAAAAATGACCAGCACAAATATTCCAGTCTGAACAGGTCAAGTTTCTAAGAAGGTTGGTAACCTAGAAGAGAACACTAGACTGAGCAGCACAGAGCACAAAGCTGAGTTTTTAACATCAGAATGCTGCAACCATTTTCTACTTAATTGCATGAAACATTTGTATGTTCAGATGATTTAGTCAGGTT